GTGCTTCAATTTCCTCATTGATAATGTGAGAATAATAGCACCTACTCGTTAGGCTACTGTGAAAAATGTGCTAACTTACGTAAAGTCTTAGAATGGCGCTAGACTCACAGTAGGCACCATATAAGTGTTTACTATTATTATCAACAAATATTAGCTATGTAAAATGAGAACTTTATGTATTCTCAAACTTTAAAAATAAACCCAAATAACTTTAAGTATACGTTAAGGCCTGCATACGGAAAACTAGAAAACACTGTTCAGAAAAATTAAAGAGCTAAATAAATGGAAGACATGTTCATGGATCAGAAGACTCAATATTACTAAGATATCAATTTGGAAATTGATCAACATTCTCCATTTAATCCCAAAATCTGGGTAGGCATGTTTCAAGGACTTGATAAACTGCTTCTAAACTTTATATGAAAATGAAAACAATCTAGAATAGCCAAAAAATTGTGAGAAAAAAAGCAAAGAGGGCTTATACTGATTTCAAGACTTAGTATAAAGCTACAGTAAACAAGGCTATGTGCCACTAACAGAAATAAAAGCACATGTCCATACAAAGACTTGTATACAAGTGCTCACAATAGCTTTATTCATGATAGTCAAAACTGGAAAGGACCCAAATGGCCATTAACAGGTGAATGGATTAACTGTAGTATAATGGAATACTGGTCAGCAATAAAAGAGAATGAAAACATACAACACAGATGAACTCAAATTCTCATGCTGAATTAAAGAAGCCAGACCCCCAAAAAAAAAAAAAGTGCATACTGTATAATTCCAATTATATAAAATTCTAGAAAATACAACCTAATCTATAACAGAAAGCTGACCAGTGGTTGCCTAGGGACGGGGGTAGGGATTGGGGACTAACTGCAAAGGAGCATGGGGGAACTTCTTCAGTGGTAACTGTGGTGGTGATTACACAACTATATACATTTGCCTAAATTCATCAAACTGTACATTTAAAATTTGTGCATAATGTATATAAATTATGCCTCGCTATAAACAAAATAAAGTCATAAAGCAACATTGTCTTTTAAATAAAGGCATACTTTTTGCTATCCATACTCACGGAAAGAATGCAGGCAAGAATTACCATTCACTTAATGTTGCTGATAAATCTATGTTACAATATAAATACAATATTACAATGTTACTCAGCATGATGCAACAACCAAAAACTGTTAATGGTTCTTTTATATCTGTCTCCTTCAACTAAAGACTTAAAGGAAACCTACAAAAGAATTTTTGAATTCTGAATAGAGGTAGTTATTTCAGATAAAAATCAATAAGCAAAATAGAGTTTAACTCGGAAATCTGTTAAACAAGCTTGTAACGGGCCATGAGGTTATCTAAACCTGCCAGGTTCCACAGAACTGTAAGAAAAACGTATAAAGGGGATCTAAGAAGATGAAAGGGCTCTTATGCTACCCAAATTTAGCACTTCCAATGATTCTAATTCTACTCCTCCATAAATATCAAGAATATAGAGATTATTCCATAAAGCTAAAAGTAAATCAGTAGTAGAAAACATAGAGAAGACATTCCTAATTTGTATCTCATGAAGCTCTCTCAGGAGAGCACTACCTACTTGGTTAAGTCTCCTGTGGAAAGATGTTTTTCTCCTTACGCCTCAAAAAATAATAAACATTTTACTTGTTTTGTAATATTAAGCACAGTTATTTTAAGTATATCTCTATGCTGACCCTCAAACTTTAAAAAATATGTAACATAAGGAATAAATGAGGACAGAAACATTTACAAGAAGAAAATAGGGGGGCCGGCCAAGTGGCGTGTTGGTTAAGAACTGGCTTGGGACACCAGAGGGCCCAGGTTCGGATCCCACATATGAGGGCCAGTGACACTGCCCTCTACAGCTAAGATGCTGAACGACAGCTCAACCTGGAGCTGGGCTGCCATGAGTCGCTGGCGACGGCGTAGGCTGCAGCCCCTGTGGCAGTGGGTTGCCATGGGCTACCGTGTGTAGCCAGCAGCCAGCAGCCAGCAGCCAGCGTGAGTGGCCAGCAGCCGCCGTGAGCGGCCTTCCAGAAGCCGGCGACTGATCTGCCTCGCCTGGGAAGAGCGCAATGATGGTGCCAACTTGGGCCAGTGAAGCAACGTCCTCCACAACTAAACTGAAGAACGAAACGACAGCAACTTGTCTGTTCCCCTTCCCCCAATTCCCCAGCACTGTTCCCATCCCCCCAATTCCCCAATAAAAATCTTAAAAAAAAAAAAAAAAAAATTTTCAAGTTCAAATAACTACAGCAATAATATATAGCATGCATATTATATAGATTTGGTTAGTTCAAAGGCAATGTACTACTTTATGTTGTAATTTATGTTGTCATAAAAGTTCCGTGAATAGTTCACAGCTTAAGAAAAGATTTTTAAGGTCTGAATTGGGTTAACCTTCCCTTTTGTAAAGAATACAAGTGAGCCGGCCGAGTGGCTCAGATGGTTAAGAGCTTGCTTAAGAGAGCGAGCCGAGCAACAGGGTCGCCAGTTTGATTCCCACATGGACCAGTGACACTGGTCCCAAGCTGAGCTGCCGCTGAGCTGCCAACAGGTAACAGGATGGCTCAGCTGGTGAGAGCACGTGCTCCTAACAACAAGATTGCCTGTTCGATGGTGGGCTATGCCCACCTGCAACTGAGACTGAACTCAGCACCTTGAGTTGAGCTGCCGCCTGGATGGCTCAGTGGATAGAGAGTGTGCTCTTAACAACAAGGCTGCCGGTTCAACTCCTTCATACGATTGTGGCTATGCCCACTCACAACTAAGATTGAACACACCTTGAGCTTAGAGGCCACAAGCTGCCGACAGGCAGCCAGATGGCGACTGGCACCCTCCACAACTAAAATTAAAGAACAACAACTTGGCTGGTCCCCTTCCCCAATTCCCCAACACTGTTCCCCTCCCCAAATTCCCCAATTAAAAAAAAAAAAAAAACAATATGATCAGATTTACTTTAAAAAAAAAAAAGAATACCAGTAATTATCATAATCATTGTTACCTATTCAAGTTCCCCACACATTCATACCTTCAAGCCTTTAAGGGCTCTCTCCCTTCCACCTATGATGCCCGCTCCTTCTAGCCCATCTCTCACCACCTATCTTAATTGGTACATGTTCCCTGATCTCTTGAACCAGAAGCGATCTCTATTTTCTGAAATCCCATAATTCTTTCCTATAGTCTCCGATGACATTTAACACTTTCCACCTTGCAATATACTTCTTCAAGCCCAGTAAACTCTCTTCTACTCTGAGTATCCTTGAATGCAAGGTCCATGCTTTATTCAGCATTGTATCCCTCACAGCATTTAGTGCCTGGAACTAAACATTTATATTGGGTGTGTTGCCTAGAATGGACAGGAAAACATTCAATGTTTCTTAGGCATCATGTGCCATGCGCTGCCTTGGGTGTTATAAAAGGAAACAAATACCAATGAATAGAGACCTGCTCTAAATCTACTAGAAACACAGACATATAAACAGTAATACAAAAAAAAAATTGTGGCAACTGTTATAATACAGGATGAACAGGGTGCTATGTATGTTGAAAATTGTTCTAATTCCATAAATTATTATAGGAAGCTAAGTCTAGATTTTTGAAGGGCCCAAAGACTATACATGTTTGAAGAGTGGTGTAATAAGGGCCCCTTAATGTTAAAAAACAAAAATTCTTACACAGCCTGCAACTAACACGACACCTACGTAACACCCTTACTTGCAAACGGGGAGCAGCCAAATTCCCTCCATTCTCAGTACAGCGCCCCACAATCGCCAGGCCTGATCTTATCATCTGTAAATACACTGGCTCATCCCGTCTTTTCACATTTGTCTCAATTCTGCACCATTTCCATATACTTCATGCCACTTCCATTCCCCAAATTCTGCTTCTCTAAATCTATTAGCCTTTAAGGCTCTTCTCAAGGCCTACTTCCTGAGGTCTCCATCACACGATTACTACATCCTCCAAATACATACTGCATTATCGCTACTATCTGTACCTCTCGTTTTCCTTAACAACTAATGACAATGATCAAGTTCATTCTTAACCTTTTATATAATTTGGAGTTAAGCAGAAGTGGCCTCAAATCCCAGATGTGCTACTGCCTTGCAAGGTAAAGTTGGGCAAGTTATGAAACTTCCCTGAACCTCAGTTTCCTCATCATTAAAATCAGGATTAAACTGATGATGTGTACAAAATGCCTAATATACATACATACTCATATGTACATTACATACATATAGACTTATTTAATTTTATTATTCTTACTTTCCAAGAAGGGAGATGGCAAACGCTCTTTAAAAGGAGCAAGACCAATGAAACATAAAGTGCGGACTACAAATGGGACCGGTGAGTTCATGGACAGGAGGCTCGCAACTTTTAAATGTGCCCTCAAGACAACTCACACGGGGCACCTTAAGTCGAATTTCTCATATGTCTCCTGCTGTAAACCACCAAATACTCAAAGGCAAAAAAAAAAAGGTCAAAAAAGATCCTAGGCTGGTGGCCCTAACGCTGACATCCTTCTCTCGCCTGTCTGCCTCAGTGCAAACCTGACGCTGCATGAACAGGTTGGAGAGGGGCAGTAGCATCGATTACATCAATCAAATAATACATCAATTATTTCTTGAATCTGCATTAGCCCTCGGAAGCAAGCAAAGCCACTTCTGCAAATGTCCGCCTCAGAAGAGAAAGTCCAAAGGGGATGGGGGCTGAGTCATCCGTGGAAAACCATCCGTCTCCGACCCACCCTGGCATAGGGACACCCCGCAGCCTTCTCCCGGGGAGTCCCGGGCACCCCACCTTCAGCCCCTACCCCCGCCTTCCTGAAGCCCCCACCTCCGACGCTCGTCCCGGCACTAGGCCCACCCAGTCCGCCGCTCGGCGGTGAGCCGGGGTCAGGTACCCCCACAACAGGGTCCCCACGCCAGCCCGTCATGTCCCAGTTCGGGCTCCTACGCCCGCCCGACACCGGCACTCACCCGGGCGGTAACCTTATACACCGTGTAGCCCCTCGGGTGTCGCTGGGGCTCGGTGACAGTGTAGAAACGGGCCAGGTCGGCACCCCGCTCCCGGGTGGAGGTCATCCTCCCGCCACCTCTGCCGCCGCCGCCGCCTGCGGGGTACCATCAGGGCGATCCGGCGCACGGCTCTCCGGGTTCCCCAAGCAGCAGCGAAGCGGCGAGGGGGCGGCGGCTCCACCGCGGCGCCTCCGGCGCGCGGCTCTGCTTCCGGGTCGGCAGAGGAGCTTCCGGGTCAGGCATCATCTTGCATCCTGGGAGAGGAAGACCTCACGTTGTGTTCGGAACCGCAGCCGGGCTTGGTCCAGGCAAGTCGACGAGGCTCAGGTCGTCGCACCGCCACTCTCGTCACTGCGGTGACCTGCGACGTCCCCCCTGAGTCCCCTAGTGCGCTGGCTCCGTCACTGCTAGATTCTGCGATGGATGGTGTAGCCACGACACACCGGTGAAGACTTGGTCCTCCACACCCCTGCCCAGCTCTTGTATACATTTGTTTGGAGTCGTAAAAGGGATGGAAGGATACGCTAGACGAGCATCTTGTTTCCTTCCCTGCTCACGGTCGATCATTTTAAATACATCGTCATCTGAATTCTCGAAGACATAACCCTCCCTACTTTCTAACACGAATGCCGGCCACCTGTGTACCTGCCAACCTCCACAGCAAGCCCCAACCCTGTCTCAATCTTAAACTTCATTCCCTCAGATTCTAAAAGCGGGAGCTTGTGTCTGGATGGGGAAAACACAAAATCACGTGACCTTTCAAAGCTACTACGAATAGAATATAGTTTCCCTTTTTCATTTGATTGCTGTCCGCTGCTTGGCAATTCCTATACCTTTCATTGATCAGGATTCTTTCTTTCTCCATAACAGTCATTACAGGTCTGCCATTTTCTTCAATCCTCTATTCCTCTTTGTCTTGCCTCCCGACCCTTTATGGTGTTGCCCAGAATGGGCAACTTCTTTACAGGGGAAAAACAGAAGGAGCCCTTACGAGCAATCCCTCCAACTTCTCACATTTGTTTTTGGTTTTTTTTTTTTTAAGACTTGATTGGAGATCTGGGGAAGGGGAACACACAAGTTGCTGTCCTTTTGTTCTTCAGTCTAGTTGTGGAGGATGTTGCTTCACTGGCCCATGTTGATATTATCATTGTGCTCTTCCCGGGTGAGGCAGTCGCTTGCCAGCCATTGGCCGGCCGCTTACTGCAGCTCACAAAGGCTCATGCCCGCTGCCGGCCAGCCCCACTGCAGCCTACGCTGTCGCCGGCAACTCACGGCAGCCCAGCTCCAGGTTGAGCTGTTGTTCACCATCTTAGCTGTAGAGGGTGCAGCGTCACTGACCCTCATGTGGGATCCGAACCGGGGCCCTGCTGCTCAGAGCTGGCGTCCCAAGTCAACTCTTAACCAACGCGCCACTCGGTCGGCCACTCACATTTGTATTCCTAATCACTCCACCTGTGCACTGAAACTGATCTTCGTTGGCAGACATTGTTCCATCAATGACATCCCAACCCTGCTTGTTGTACCTTTAATCTCTTCCTAACTACCAGCTCCTTCTTCTCAGCCTACATATGTCCTAATCTATCACTTATTCATTAAACTTGAATTAACCACCTCCTATGTGCCAGACATGTCAGTTAGGCATTGGAGTTATAGAGTCCCTGCTCTCAAGTGCCAACTAGTAGGGAAAAAACAAAACAATTAAAATACATTGTGAAAAGTACCATGACAGATGTACATGTGGAGTGCTATAGAGCACATCTAATTCAGAATGGAAGATTAGCTAAGGCTTTCTGATAAAGAGGAAACTATGGCTGAATCTTGAAAGAGAGATAGGAATTAGCAAAGAAGTAACAGTGAACTCGGGAGGAACAAAAATTTGGATTTCCAGAGTTGTCACATCATAATATTCGAGATGTCCAGTTTTCAACAAAAAATTAGAGGCATCCTGAATAACAGGAAAATACGTAAAAAGCAATCAATAAAAACAATGCCCATGAGGAAGCCCAAATGTTGGTCTTTACTAAACAAAGATTTTAAGTAAGCTATTTTAAATACGTTCAAAGAGCTAAAGGAAAGCTCCAAACTGGCCAAAGCCAAAACCAAAACTGGCTCAAGAAAAAAGGAAATCTGAATAGGCCTATAACAAGTAAAACCATTGAACCAGTAATTAGATCATGGTAATGACTGCACACTCTTGCAGATATACTAAAAACCACTGAATTGTACACTTTAAAATGATTAAAATGGTGAATTTTATGTTACGAATTAAGTAAGAGATATCACCTTAGAGTTACAACAATGGCTAAAATTTTAAAAACTGACACTACCCAATGTTGACAAGGATAGGAGCAACTGAAACTTTCATAGGTTGCCAGTGGGAATTCAAAATGATACTGCCACATTGGGAAATAGTTTAGCAGTTTCTTATGAACATGCACTTACCAGATGTTCCAGCAATCTCACTCCTAGGTTTCTTACCCAAGAGGAATGAAATATATGTCCATATAAAGACTTATGTGTGAATATTTAGAGAAGCTTTATTCATAATAGCCCCCAAATGGAAACAATTCAAATATCCACCTAATAGACTGTGATGCCAGAATGACTAAAGGTAAAAATATTGATAATAATAACAATTTCATTCCAGGGTAGATGCTCAAGAAAAGTGAGTGAATATATCCAATATAAAAAGATGCACATAAGACAGTTCTAAGCACTATTATTCATAACATCCAAAAATTTACACAACCCAAGCGTCAATCAACAGTAAAATGGATAAGTTACAATGTGGTATAAAATCATACAGTGGAATGTACACAGCAACCAAAAAGAATGAACTTCTGCTACATTCATCAATAAGGATGAATCTTACACACAGATGTTAAACATAAGAAGCCAGATATAAGGAGTACATATTCCGATTCTAGTCATATAAAGTTCAAGAATAATTAAAACTAATCTATGACAACTGAGTCAGAATAGTGGCTTTCCATAGAGTGTGGGGTGAGCGGTAGTATGTACAATGGGTATTGCCTGAGAAGCACATGAGAGACTCTTCTACGTTGCTGGAACAGTTCATAATCTGGTTAGTGGCTACATAAATGCACAGATATGACAACATTTGTCAAGCTCAACATTTAAGATTATGCACTTTATTGTATGTTGTACCCCAATAAGTTTTTTAAAGTTTTTAAAAAGTAAAAATACCCTGATCTTCTTAGCCTCCTCCCATCCATCTTTCATATTCCCATTAATATTATTCATTTTAAAAGCCTATGATATTATGTCACTCCTCTGTAAAACTCTTCAGTGCGTCCTGTTGCCATGATTTCTGTCATAGTTTTCAGAATTCATCACATCTGGTCCCTGCTCACCTGTCAGTCTCATTTCTCTGAGTTCCAGCCAAATCCCTTGCAATTTTGCACCTCCAAATCTTCAAACCATCTGTTTCTTTTGAAATCCCTACCTCACTCCACCCTCAACCAGCCTTCTGGAATCAGCTCACTCAAGGACTAATTTCTCACTGAAGCACTTTTTCACAGCCCCCATATTCTTTTTCAAAGAGAACTAGGCACTTCTTCCTCTCTGCTCCCACGCCTCTATCCCACATCTGAACTACAGCACCTATGACAGGGTAGTGATATGTTATGTAAGCTAATTTAGGACTGATGTTTTTATCCCACTACATTGTGAGTCCCTTAAAGGTGAGGACTATTCTTCATTTGTATTCTTACCCTCAGTATCTGTCACAGTGGCTGGAAGATAAGAGGTATTTGCTGAATGCATGAACTCCAAGGCTCTGAAGATTTTTCTCTGCCAATCCAATTACATATATTAAGTATAATTATTTGTTTTATCTTCTTCACCAAAGTCACTGACATATAACTACTAACCTGAGCTTCTGACCAGAATGAAATAACAAATGTTTCCATATTCAACTCATATATGTAATATCAGTCAAAAGCAAAGAAACTTGAGGTTTCGATAAATTTTTTCTTCCTTCTTGCAGATTTTCTTTCAATTTCTATTAGATTTTTTAAAGTATTGTAATAGCTCAAAGATTCCCTTAAATCTTTTTTGATCTCTAGGATCCCAGACTCCCCAGATAACTATTTATGAACTAAAGATTCATTAAAGAGAATAAAGTGATACATACCTTACACCTTGATGTTAGCCTTTGTGAAGAACATATACTGCTTCCAGCTAATGTGTAGTTTTGACAGGGACAAAGTCAAAATACTTGGTAAAGTTACCATCGAATAGCTATTCATTTATTCATCATGTAGACAAACAAAAGACATGGTTTTTCTCCTCAAATGGGTGTTAGACAACCACAAAGAGTGTTTTATTCTTTCTTACATGCAGCTTTCTCATGCTTTCCTCTGCTGTTCCATTTCTCAGCCGCTTCATTTTCCTCTGTGTCCAAGGAACCCCTGCTGAGATCTACTCTTGAATACGTCCCCAAAAAGATAATTGCAGGAGCCCTAAAACAGACCAAGCCAGGCAGCAGAATCATTTGTCAGAGTTGAGCTCAATTCCACAACATCCACAAGTCTCTGTATTATAGGAACTCACAAATGTGCAAAGCGGGAGCTTTCCCATTCTGCCACTGAGAGCTAGGGGAAAGAGAGTTTAGGGATGGAGGAAAGAAAACCGCTAACCTGAAGTTTATATCCTGGCTACCTAGTTCCCATCACTGCACCTCTGTTTCAAAAGCCTGAACACCAAGAGTTCTTCATTTAATCAGCCTATACAGGCTTAGAAATAAATGAAAAATTCCAGTGAGGACTCAGTGCTGTAATGTTTTAATCAAGAACCAGGACAGAACATATACCCATGGAGGATTCCATCAGCTTTCCAGACTGATTTACTGGCTATTGTGAGACCGTTAATTAAACCTGCCCTGTTCCAAATTAAATCTTTAATTTGTCACCACTCTGGCAGGCTCAGATGTAATATTAGGCTGGAAAATTGAGAAACAGTATGAAGAAAAGAAGGGAAATATTCCACGACCATAAGAAATTAGGAGACCACTGCACCAGACTACAAGGTTCCACAGGGGCAAGAACTATGTCACCATGACAACCTGGGATATTTTTATTGTAAAAGTTGTTAGGTTATGCAGAAATCTTTTCCAGAATTTAGAGGTTGAGAGTGAAGTATAAGAACATGTGTGGGAGTTGAGACACATTTCAAATTTTGGATTTTAATCTTTATTTGTTAGCTTTTCCTTGCAATCTACATGTTGCTAAATCCTGTTTTTTTCAAGAGCAAAAGTAATTTTTATACCGCATATCTATATATAAATATGATTATGTAACTTCATTAATTGGGATATTTTTATTAACAAAGGATATAAGGTTTCTTGAAGAATAGGAGAAATTTACATCAATCAATAGTTCAAAATAGATTATTATACATTAGCATACGGGTTCTTGTCTAAAAAACCTGAAAGTATCAAATGGATACCATATATATTGAATCTACACTGTATTACCTTTCATTTAATTTTATAACATTTTTATCTTGTTTTTATACTAATTTCCTATGACAGTTTCCCAAAGGGTCTCCATGAAGTTCTGTTATATGTATATTATCTACTCAGTATATCATAGTTTATTTAACCAATTTTATGTGTTCAGGCTTGTTTTGCATACAAAGTTGATGCAAAATAAAACATTTCTGCCTCTCTGTGTCTTATAACAGATACTTCACAGCTATCATTTTATTTAATCACCACAATATTTCATAAGTATTATTAGCTCCAGTTTTAGAGATGCGGTAACTGCAGTCAAACAGTGATATACGAGTATTTGCCAATGCCACAGCTGGGAAGTGTCAGGGTCTGTGTTAAAACCCAAGTCCATTTGACTCTTAAGAGTCTTCCCATTTCCTGTGCTCAGTGTCCTCATGGCTCTTGAGGCACAGATTCTGCACTTAACAAAGAAATTGTTTCTGGGCATTACATCACACAATATATTTGTGCTTTCAGCTGATATGTAAGTCCTTGCCCTGAAGGAATCCTCTGCTCCAAACACATAGCAATGAGAGATAAATGTAAAAAGAGAAATTAAGAAACTCAACAAAATAAAACAAAAACCACTAACATGCTCCCCTAGAAGAAATGGTTCAGTATTCACTAAGCGTTGGCAGTAGCTTCGTAGAACGTAACTACCACAAACAAGGGGAATCAACTCTATTTGTACTAAAGGAACAAGTTTTGTTTTGTTTTTCAAATGCATCTGATTTCCTTATTAACACAAGAGGGGGGAAAAAGGGTTCCCAAGAAATGACTCCACTGCTCTTCCAAATTGCCTATAACAGGGGGAGTCCCGCATTCCCTCTGCTCTCTCCACTTTATTCTTCCTCACTTCTACCTCTTGGAGGGGTCATTACTTAAACAATTTTCCAAAAACAATTTTCCAAGAATCTTAGAGTCCTATACCAAATTTGATAGAGATGGACACACATGACAAACACATAACGTTTAAAAGTGATCTGAGCGGAAGTGTTCCCGCAAAATTAATAGCAAAAATCCCTAGTACCTCAGTTCTGTGGGAACCCAGTGGGCATCCACCTTCCGAATTTCCCAAGGACATTATAAAAGTACGCGAAAATCATTTTTCTTCTTAGTTCTCATACAGTAACTACACTACACCCTCCCATCGGCCTTAAACTGGTCGGCAGTTTATTTGTTTCTTTAAGACCGAGGGCGGGTGTTTTGCCCTCTTCCGAAATGGCTGCCCATGCCTCACACGCTCTGCGCATGCTGGTTGAACGAAATTCAGGGTTGAGACAATTCAGTGACTTTCGCGGCGCAAGATGGGGACTTGGCGGCGGGCGAGACTGAGCCTCCCAGCATGCTTTGCAGCTGGGCCGGGAGGCCCGAGGGGTATTGATGGGGAGTCCCCGGAGCTTTCAGTCGCCAAATCGGTTGTAGAGGTTGAGGCAGGCGCCTGAGACCTGGACGACCACAGAGGGGGAAGATGGAAGCGTGGCGCTGTGTGAGGAGGGGCTACGGCCGCTGTGCAGTGGGGAGAGGCCGGTCAGTGGGGCTAGGTGACGGGAGGGAGAAAGGAAGGGCGGCCGGGGGGCGGGGGCGGGCAGCCGGGGTGAACCGGGGCGGGGCGGGCTGGGGAGGAAGGAGGAGGAAGAGGGTCGGGGTGGTGGCGCGGCCGTGACGAGCCTCCGGAGACCCCGAAGGATAGGTAAACCCGGCACGCAGCCGGCGGGACGCTGGGCTGGCGAGGGCCCGGGCGCGGAGCGCATCGGCCGATGATTCCCTTCCCACCAGGCTTGGCCTTGGAGCCCCGGCCCGCTTCTCCCTCCCGCCTGCCTGAGCCTCCGGGTCGCCGGCCTCCTCTCTGGCCCCTGAGCACCACCCGGGAGCTGATCGCCCGCGGGGAGTCCGCCTGGCGCAGCCGGTCCCGGGGCGGCCTGACCCCGCGGGAGGCGCGCGCGCGCCGTTCACACGCCGAGGGGTTGGTTTGTTGCTGTGTTAGTGCCTCTCAAACTTTAGTCACGTACATACCAGCCTTAACGATTATTACCACATTCTCGTTCACACCTGTATTATTTACTAGGTTTTTTTGTGTGTGTTTTTTTGAAATTGACTCATTTAAAAAAGCGGCCATCGATCGGTGCTGACCACATTCGCGTCGCTTTAAGCAGTTACCTGCGGAATTTTGGGTTTGATGTACTGACTTTTTCCCCTAATACACTTTAAAAGAAATACTTAGATATTAAAAATCAAAAAGTTGAACCGAGTACCATATAAAACCGACTGGAGTGCCACACATGGGAAGCACAGCACGGGACTCATTATTGCATAAGTTATGGGAATCTGGTTTTAACGCCTATAGCCCTGGGACTTGACGCTTCAGTTCAACAGTGTTTTCCTGAGTACCAGCTGTGTGCCAGGCACTGTGCTAGGCACTTAGGAAGACAGATTAAAATGATTAAGGAAGTTCTGGCCTTGAAGGAGCTCATCATCTTAAGAGCTGTAGTTACATCTATATAAGCAACTACAAATAGAATGAGTTTTATAGTGCAAGTATTATAGTTCAATACGGTAGTTTATTAGGATAGACAGTGTATGGAGCAAATGCCCAAATCTCTATGGCTTTCAGAGTTGTCACAACGCAGGATACTCTGCCCATGTAATAATGCATTTAAAGATTTACAATTAGTGAAATATATGATGATGGAAGGAGAACAGACTCTGGGGTGGTGAGCGCACAATGTGATAAATAGATGATGTGTTCTAGAATTATACACTTGAAACCTATGTAATTTTACTAATCATTTAACCCCAATAAATTTCATTTTTAAAAAAAGATTTATAATTAAGTTGAATTTAGAAAACAATTTGAAAATGCATAAACTGCAAAAATATATAATACAAAATTCAAATGTTAAAATGAAAAGGACATAATATATACATGTCAAATAACAAAATACAGTGTAAGCAAAATTCCTTTGATGATGAAAGTGGACATTGTTGAGACTATCTTGGAAATGTACCTTTAAGGAATTCTGGAGGAGAAGATAGATGTTCTCAATCCTAACATTTTGCCAGAATAGTATAAGAAGATGGTGCTTAACTGAACCTGAGAGCAACATATTGTCAACATAATGATAACACTACTTTGGAGAATTTTGGATGATAGGTTAAATTGGTACTGTTGGGTTTAGAGTGTTGGTGAATTCCTAGGAATCTCTATCCTCTTTCATTTCCCTCAAGGAGAAGCATGCTTTAAAAAAAAAGGGGTGGTGGTGGAAAAATAAATTATCCACCTGATTAGCAAGAGAGGTAGTTTTGTGAAATTGTGATAGGCTTTTGTTTTCTTAGCTATACAAATGTTTGGAGAATATAACCTTGGTATAAAAATGTGAACCTTGGTTCAAAAATGTGTTTTTACTCCAGAACCAAGTTGGAGGAGAGATTCACTTTAATTGTAGTCAGCTTATGTGTTCCATATTTGATTTCAGTATTATTTTTGCTGTGGATTCTGTTTGCCTATTGAGTTATATGAGATGCTAGAGCTATTATGAATACCAGTTTGATGGTTGATTCATCTCTCAGTTGAACTGAACTGTGGGCTCTTTTTTTTTTTAAAGATTTTATTGGGGAATCGGGGAAGGGGAACAGACAAGTTGCTGTCCTGTTGTTCTTCAGACTAGTTGTGAAAGATGTCGCTTCACTGGCCCATGTTGGCATTGTGGTCATTGTGCTCTTCCAGGCTGAGACAGTTGGTCTCTGGCCATTGGATGGCTGTTCACAGTGGCTCACAGCAGCTCTCGGCAGCTGCCGATAGTTCATGGCAGCCCACTGCAGCCCCACTGCAGCCTGTGCCATTGCCGGCGACTCACGGCAGCCCAGCTCCAGGTCGAGCTGTTTGAACTATGGGCTTTGGAAGTGTATGTGGTGTTTTGGGAGCCTGTTAAGTGTGTAGAATACCATTCATAGTTGTTTAAGGAGAGTATTGAGATATTGCTGCTAATAGTTAAATCATGACTGCTTTCCCCCATCCACAGATTTAGAAGTCAGATTTTAAATATTAGACATTGTCTTCCCTTGAGGAAACATTTAGATTTCATGTGCTATAGCTGAACAAAAAGTGGTGTCTCAAGGAATATGTTTATTTCTTTTAGATACCCCATGTTAACCCATCACCAGAGGAGTCTGGGCAGAGACTGGACCACACCGTGGGAGAATCTGCAAAGTTGTTGCTGGAACAGACATATTTCTAGTTGTATGAGGTGGCCTGGACATTATTCTCGTGCTCCTTACCCGTACTTCAGTAGTAGGCATTTTTCACTAAATTGGAGACCACCTTGTTTGTTTGAGTCTAGAACTCAGTTTCAGTACTGGAACTGGAGACCTGACAACCTGAGCCAGACATCTTTGTGTCATCTCTCTAGTTACATCATGAACACTGAGGGAGATGAGCCTTCATCAAAACGAAGAAAACACCAAGGTAAAGGTGACATGTATCTTGGTGCAGAAATAGACATAAGCCATAGACTAATTGAAACTTTCATATCTAATACTCAAGAAAAACTGCAGTTTTTAGAGGTATTTGGTATTTATTTTCAGCCATTAGTTTTCTGTTAGGGAAAAAGAAATTATTTTTTTAATGAAGTTTTTATTTTTAATCTTTAATTAATTGTGTATTACTGACAGTAAAAATAGAAGTGATTCTTCATATAGAATAAAGTGGAAAAGAATGAAGGACTAGATTAAAACATTAAGAACAATTTTCAAATCCAGTGTTTTTTAAACAAAGGTCCTTAGATGTCTTAGAAATTGCGGATGTATTATTGGGAGTTCACAGATGTATTAAAAAATAAAATTTCATGTTTTTATGTTTAATGCTAACTTATTTAATGCTAACTTTAAAAAATAAGACAAAGGATTTTTTTTAATATAAACAGTCAAATGAAAGACATTTTACAGAATAAGATTTTAGCTTATTAATTTTGTATTTCTCATACTGGAATCTATAGCTATAATCTTGAGAGTCTGTGGGAAGTTTTAATCTTTTAAAAAGGGAACCACATCTTATTCAACTTTGAGAACAGTTTTTTCTAAACAAAGTGGGGTTTTTTTCTATTTTTCTCATATTCTTTTTACTCTAAACAGTTCACTAGGCTCCCTCTGTGCTTCCAGTCCTGCCCCTTCCCTCCCCCGCAACTATACATGAATTGTCTAAGTATAACTTGGAGTTGTCGTTCTTACTGAGCTGTGGGTCTCAGTGAAGATAATTCCTCTGAAAATATTTGAAAGTAGGCTGCGTGAGTGTTAACGTGTAGGGAGTGAACATAGGTTTGTCAAAAGAAGATATTCAGAGTAAGTCTCACCTGGAAGTTAGAGCTAGAAGATTAGCTTATGCTTTATTATTTTTTTTAGCTGAGCCATCCTGCCACCTACCTGTTGGCAGCTCAGCGGCAGCTCAGCTCGGGCCAGGAATCGAACCAGCAACCCTATTGCTCAGAGCTCGCGCTCTTGAGTGAGCTCTTAACCAACTGAGCCACGCGGCCGGCCCTGCTTATGTTCTTTTAAGTTGAAATTCTACGTATTTAAGTAGAAATCCTAAGCACTCAGCAGTGAAAAATCTATTTGTATGGTATTTAGCCACAGCACATGCTGATAAATATTTTTTTGAATGAGAAAGGTGTATTTAGAGGAATTAGAATTAGGTTTCTAAGAACAACCCATAGTCTGTAAATCGAGGGCTGTATGATGATGACATGAGAGTGCTTTTCATTCACATATTCATTGTTCAGCAGGTCAGCACACTTGTTTAGCCTTTTGTAAACCTGGTGGCTCTCAGGTGGCGCTGTGGAATAATGACATAAGCATGAGCTCGGGAACCGCTCCCTGCTCTCATTCTGCTCCACCCCTAATTGTGTGAACTTGGACAGGCTACTGAACCTCTCTGCTCCTTGGCTTCCTAGTGTAAAGTAATACCTACTTTGAAAGCCTATCGAAGATGAAAAGAGATGTCAAAGTGCCCAGCACACTATTGGCTTCATAGTAGGTACTCAGAAAATCGCGGTGGTGGTGTTTTCCCTTTAATGGATGGGGAATTACATTTGCACACTGATAAACTTGGATCGCAACCTGACTCTCTATATGTCCATTCTTCCTAGGTATTGTGAATAAGGAAAATGCTCCTCGTTAAGCCATGTCTGTGACTCCCGATATTTCACTAATACTTTTCAATCAAGAGAACAGCATTGCTAACTTGCCTATCACTTTAAAGTGGTATTTTGAAGGACTTATGTGACACAATTATGACTTTTTAATTAGGCACCCTAAAAACCTGATCAGGCCTATTGCTTACTTTCTTTGATTCATCTGTCTTCTCTGCTGTGATCACCTTGTTCCTCCTGACATGGAAGGTATATAAGCTTTTGTAGTGTGAATTTATGTTGTGAAGTATATGGAAGCCAAAGACTGTTTACTCCATCAGTATTCACATTGTCTTCCCTGGACCTCTAGCATTTGAACACATTTCTTTATGTTTATTCAAAGCAGATGTGGTCAGGACAAATGTGTTTACCCCATCATTCCAGCCCCAGTCCAGTATACCAGGGGTTGACGTTCATGACATAAAAAGTAATGCCGAAGGATTGTACAGCCTCTAGGAGTTTGAAAGCCACGTATTAATTAGATAATTTGATGGTCTGAGTCATTTTTAAAAAATGGAATTGCAAAAAGAATTGGCTTACAAACTCTTAATTGCCAGGACTATAAAAATCTTAATCCATTAATATTCCTTTACATAAATGAATTAAGTTTACGTATACATAGTTTATAAGAAACTATGAATGAGTGTTTTCAGCTTTCATATTTAAATGTGACACCAGGGTAGCGCTATAACTGATGAGTGCTTACACCTTTTTTCATAACTGGAGCCCTTTCCATCTCCTATACATATAAAGACTTGATGATTTGTGCCTAAATCATCATAGGTACTCCCCAATTTATGAATGAATAGTGTTCTTGATCATGAATTCTTGAGAATCAGTTCTGTTTTTCCCATAGAAACTCAGTTATAAATCTCAAAGTAGCTCTGCAGAGCTAATACGTTTAGCCTTAGTTCTGGGCCTTTGGGGGTAGGGTTCTCCATATTCCGTAAAGGAAACAGAAAGGAATAGTTTTCTTCCCTTTCCTGGGCATATGACAAACTAGGCTAAATTCTATGATCGTTGAAGGCTTTTATTTAACTTCCTTTTCTCTCCTTATACCTTTTTTTCTTTACCCTTCTCCTCAGGTCAAGTACCTTCATGGTATCATAAGTCTCCAACTCCCATGTTCCACTCAGACCTCACTAATCACAAAAATTATCCTCCTTTTCTATCCCTTGATCAAAATTTCTATTCCCTCAGTGCAGCAGATACCAGCATTTAGATTTTGAAGAAAGTAATCTGATTAATTTATCATAGGGTGTTTTTGAATTTTACTTCATGGACATTTTTATAGTATATTAGTATTCTGATAATAAATACAGAGGATGCCAAAAAAATTGTATACACATTTTAAGAAAGGAAAAAACTATTAATTGTAATACTCAGTATATACTGATAACAAAAGATGAATACAAGTCACATTTGACTTCTGCAATTACAAGAGGTGCTCAAAGTGGTTACCATCAGCGTCCAGACACTTCTGATTATGATGAACTACTGTTTGAGCATAGATAACATTGCTTAAAATGTGTATACATTTTTTTGGCACACCCGGTATATCATCATTGTCGATGATTTGGGAAAATCTCCCACAATCCTACCACTCAGGGATAAGTACTCTTAAAAATACTGGTGTGTTTTCTTTTAGTCTTTCTCCCCCTGTGTATAGAATATTTTTCCTCAATTTAATTTTTCGTTGCTGGAATTTTAGGCATTGCAATCCAGTGAAGTGAAGGCCTTCAGGCAGGAAAAGGGCCGAGCTTTCCCACACAATCTACTCATGCTTGGAAGTCCAGCTCCAAATCTATTTTTCCAAGTTCTCCCCATTTCTTGTTTTCTCCTTCATTTAAACTTATGGATTCTCTAAAAGTTCCACATTTTTCTTCATGACTTCCATGGCGGTATGAGTATGCTCTTTAATGATGGGGTGAGGAAGACATACACACACACATGCACACACGCAGTGGACATTTCTACGTCAGGGTCTGCCTATAATTGCCAAATCTCATGCTTTTTGATTCTCTTTTCATCACTTTTTTCAAGGTACATGATGTCTTTGCAGAACATAAACCATTACACATTCCTGGTTGCTGCATGCTAGGTTCGTCTCGATCAGCTATTACCATTTACCTGCATTCTGTAACCATGTTACATTTAACTTTTGCTTTGATGTGCATTAAGAAGACGTCGTTTTTGTTCATTTTGTTTGTGTTTTCCACCTGTGTTTTAGATACTAAATAATGCTTCCATATATTGCCATTACACATCCTTCATTCATGTCTAAAGCAAAAGTCTGAGATGAGTTGTTTCTGGAACTTAGTTCATCACTTGGTGGTCTTATCTTACTAATAGGGAATTTAAAAATGTGGAATTATCTTATTGAAAAGCTAACTGTGACATACAAGCATATTATGGTTACAAAGTTGCTAAGCATGTCTGTGGCCGAGCCACTTCCTAACCATAAAGAAGTGAAAAACCATGATCCTGGTATAGTTTTAGTTTTATTAACACACGCTCTTAGCCTCCAGAATGACTTGCTAGATCTTTTTAAGCCTGTAGTTTACCTCTCGGTCAGTCAATATGTCATTTTACTGCCTTTTAATCAGTTTGATGACAATGTCTATCACGTCCCTTTTACCCTGGTTAAATTCCCCGGGATATTCCCTACCTCTTTATCCGGTAATTGCCCCTGCTCCTCCCTGGGGCCCTATTGCCTTTAAACCTTTTTTCTTAGACTCGAGTCTCACTCTCCCTCTTCCTCTTCGAGGTCCCATGTTAAGGCGCCAGATACCACATCCCGCGTGACAAGGGCTGGGGTTTTGAGGAGGGGCAGCGACGGGTTAGAACTCACAAGAGTCAAAAATAGAGTTTCTGCGGGCCAGGGGATTGCTCTCTCAGTCTGCACAGACAAGACCCCTGGCCCGCAGAAACTCTATTTTTGACTCCTGTGATTTCTTAACCCGTCGCCGCCCCTCCTCCAAACGCCAGCCCCTGTCAAGCGGGACGTAATAAATGTCTAGTTATTTAGTGCTACTAAATAGGGGAAAATATGTTGTTTACTGCCTATGCAAATTTTTAAAAGGCAAGAAAATATATACAGGAAAATATGTGTTATGTTTTTTATTCTTTATATTTTGTCCAATATGTTTTAACAGGCACGATAGAACGGCATTGGGAATATATATGTAACCATAATAAAGAAAAAACGAAGATCCTAGGAGACAAAAATGTTGACTCCAAATGTGAAGACAGTGAGAACAAGTTTGACTTTTCAGTGATGTCTTATAATATACTTTCACAAAATTTATTGGAAGATAATTCACACCTCTATAGACACTGCCGGCGGCCAGTATTACACTGGAGTTTTAGGTTTCCCAATATTCTGAAAGAAATTAAACACTTTGATGCAGATGTAAGTACAAAATATCATCAAAATTTTTCACACAAGAAAAAGTTGGGTTAACTGGTTCATTTGTGAACTAAATACTAGTTTTCTCCCTTTGGTAAGGAGGGAAGACATTTAAATATAGTGATGGAACAGTTTTAAATAAGGTATCATGACTTTCAAAGAGTCATTTGCTAATGATTGTTGGTAGAAATAGCAATCTGACTTTTCAAAAAAAGATCCAAAAATTTTAAGTATTGGTCAGTCCTGACATAGGGACTGGCAACATAGTAAGTATCCATAAATACTTCCTTTGATTTTAAATTTAATTCATGTAAAGATTATTCTAGATGATTCCATTAAAAAAAAAAAATCACCTCTTAAGAAAGGACCAGGAGGATTTAGTACTAATAAACGTGTAAATTCAGGAAAAATATGCCGACATGTAAATTAAAAGCATTTCCTTTAGGAAATACCAGTTTTAGGTAGTAAGAGAGCTTCATGTGATTCAAGGGCAGGGTTTGGGGCACTGATCAGATTTAAAACCATTAATTTGATAGAGCTATAAATTACAAGAAAAATGATTTTATTTCAGCTTTCATCAGGCTTTCATAATTTTAGAAGTCTGCTTTTAAAGATGAAAGCACCAGAAAATTCATATATGCATATGTTTGTTTTAATTCAAGCCATTTTCTTCTTCCAAGGTACTTTGTTTGCAAGAGGTTCAAGAAGATCATTATGGGACAGAGATCAGGCCAAGTTTGGAATCCTTGGGTACAATGTAACTTTTATTTTACCAAATTTGCTTTGGAAGATTGGTATGTTGTGAAAGCATAACTTACTAACAAAGATATGTGGCATATTTGAGCCAAAAATCTTAATTTTGAAAAAACTTAATTCCAGTTTCAAAAGGTCAGGAAAAGATTGAGGTATTTCAAGTGGAAACTTTCATGTGTGTATAATTTTAATTTGAAGAGAAAGATGTAAGAATCTCTTACAGCTTCCTTTCTAGGAGTTGCTCTGCCCACCACCAGACCCCCTAAGCTTGTTAGTTGCATGAGGTCAGGGACCATTCTACTAGGTCCTCATGATAACACGTGTCTACCAGTGCTTATTGGATGGAAGCTAGGAACCTCGTTTATGAATGAACACTTCTAAAAACAGGTTCTCTGTTTGAGAAGTGCTGCCTACTTTGCAATCATTCATTCAGCAAATATTTTTTGAGTGCCTGCTGTACACCATGCAGTGTTCTAGGTCATGGGGATACAGAAGTGAGCAAAACAGATGAAAAGTCTCTGTCCTTGTGAAGCATGCATTCCAGTAGAGAAAGGCTGACAGTAGCTAAGCAAGCAAAGAGTTCATTAGGTAATGATAATTTTGTGAAGAAAAAAGGAAAGTGGAATGGGTCAGGTTTCTATTTTAAACAAAATGATCAGAGAGGGTGACATTTGAGCAAAGACTTGAAGGAGGTGAATGAACAAGCCATGCCTAGAGCATTCCAGACGAGATAGCAAGGGAAAGGCCCTGAGGTTGGAGTTCCTTAAGACAGGTGAGCCCAGTGTGTGGAGGGGATGGGGGTAGGAGTTAGAGGCAAAAAGGCCAGAGATACATGGTGGGTAGATTATCATCAGGCCTTACTGTCTTTGTCATGACTGACTTTTACTAGGATGGAAACAAGAGCGTGATGATACACATTAGCATATAAGTATTTAAGACTGAATGAAGTGTGCTAGTAAGAGACTTCTTAGACCTAGTCTCAAATGATTTTGATTCCAACACCTATTATCATCCTACATTACTAATGTTTTGCAGAATACATTTTGGTAAACATTGTTAAAAATAATAGAGCTGTGTTTCTCCGTGTGTGTGTGTGTGTGTGTATGTGTATAAAGCAGTCCCTTGTTTTCAATTCCTTTCTTTCTTATAGGTTATCACTGTGAATACAAGATTCGGACGGGAAGGAAACCTGATGGCTGTGCCATTTGCTTCAAACATTCCAAGTTTTCACTCTTATCAGTGAACCCAGTGGAATTCTACCGCCCTGACGTTCCTCTGCTGGACAGAGACAATGTTGGCTTAGTGTTACTCTTGCAGCCCAAAACGGCAAGTGGGGCCTCTCCTGCAATCTGTGTAGCTAACACACATCTGTTGTATAATCCGAGGAGAGGTGATATTAAGCTGACCCAACTGGCGATGCTCCTGGCAGAGATTGCCAATGTTGCTCATCAGAAAGATGGCAGCTTCTGTCCTATTGTGATGTGTGGTGACTTTAATTCTGTTCCTGGTTCTCCGCTCTATAGTTTCATAAAGGAAGGAAAATTGAATTATGAAGGACTTGCCATAGGAAAGGTAAGTGCTCCCTTCGTTACTGTTAAGAGGCAGACTTAGTCCTCTGCTCATTGTAATGTGAGAATAGTCATCACTGGGCTGTTTGAAAACCTTTGGTGATCCAGTGCCCTCCCTTTCCTAAGCTATGATGATTTTACACTACTAATAAGCGATTACACCTGGTTGAATTTCATCTTTCCATCTATTCATGGCGACATTCTTGGAGGAATTGGCAGGCAGCAAAAAATCCAAATCGGGTGAGAAGAAGAAAACTGATAGACATGAATACTTCATAAATACTTCACTCATAAGGTGGAAGAATAGAATTTTGAATACTGGATATGGGCAATACAGTTGGCAAAACAGTAATTTACTACTTCTTTATTATATAATTTTTCCTTTACACAATGATAAATATTTTAATTCCTTAGCTGAGTATAATGTATCCCATGTTTTTATTTTCATTGTGCTCACTTCTGCTTACTTTAGATCATTTCATCTTCAGTATGTTTAACCAAAATAAGTTTTCCACCACTGAGTTTTAAGTGATAGTATAAAATTTTATAAGTTAATCTCACTTAGTATTTTATATAATAGGAATTATATTGCAGGTAGCAAAAAAGGATGTGCAGTATTAGTCCAAAGCTGTACATCAAGATGTCCAAGTTAGATAAAAACATGTATAGAAAAAGATTGCCATTTTCATGTAAGTAATAAGGGCTTTCTGAACTGTATTTAAACAAGATTTTATAAGCACAAATAACCACTTAATATAATGAATAAAGGGTAATATTTACCATTCTTGGATTCCCTTTCCTCTAAGACATAAACTTTCAATACATAAACTACTTAAAATCTATTCACTTAAGATACCTGTTGAAATTTTGTTTAGGTATCTGGCCAGGAACAGTCTTCACGGGGACAAAGAATTTTATCTATTCCAATTTGGCCCCCAAACCTAGGTATCTCACAGAACTGTGTGTATGAGGTACAGCAGGTACCAAAAGTAGAAAAGACAGGTAAGTGTTTGCAATACATTTTGGCAGTCTTTTTGATAAGTATCTCTTTGAAGACGTAAAACTAAATTTTTAAAGGGATAACAGCTCAGGAATATTGATATATAAAAACATATAGTTGTTTGCTTATTTTTCTTTTTTCTTTTTTTTTAGCTGAGCCATCCTGCTACCTTTTGGCAGCTCAGCTCAGGCCGGGCATCGAACCGCTGTTGCTCAGAGCTCAAACTCTTGAGCACGCTCTTAACCAACTGAGCCACTCGGCCGGCCCTCATTTCTTTTCTTAAACCTCTCTAAATTTATCTTTTTGAAGTTGAACTTCCAAAACTATCTTTGCATGCATTACCTGCATGTGCTTTCGAAATGTTTTCATTTTATGCTTGCTAATTCTGGAGATCATTACAACAGATTCCAGATGAAACATTTAACTAAGTATCTGTCTTAGTTTAAGACAGATACATATCTAGTTTGATATGTCTTCAAATATACTTCCTAGAGTAAGAGGACTATACTAAGGCAAACTAGAACAAAATAATATATTGATAGTATTAAAATATTTCTCTTTCTTCTGACAGACAGTGATCTGACACAAACAGAGCTGGACAAAACAGAAGTCCTAGTGACAGCTGAAAAGTGAGTTCTGGAAAGCAACAGTAGACTTTTGCTGATCATTTCTCAAAAAGCACTTGGATAAAAAATGAAGATGTGATTTTGTTCTGGTGAAGAATGCTGTCTCTTCAGTCAGATAGACCCGAGTTCCAATCGCGACTTTGCTGCTTTTTAGTTTTGTGACTTTGAGCAAGAAACTTAACATCCCTGAGGTTCAGTTTCCTTATCTATAATTTGGGTTGTTGTGAGGGTTAGACGAGACGAAGCATGTAAAGTTTAATGTTTGACATACTCATATAGTAAGTACTTACGCAGTGTTATTTATACATTTAAACAAAGGTCAAGATCACAGAAAAGTATTTTTCAGATTTCAAGAGGATCCTGAACCTCCTTTGACTTACTAGATCTCAATCTAGCAGAGAATTGATCCAAAAAAGATGTCAGTAGAAAAGATAATTATTTATGCTTATCTCTTGAACTGCAGGAAAAGATCATCAGAGGTAGACAGGTGAAGATCCCTGGATTCTTATTTTTAAAAAAGCATGAATGCATGGGGCTATGGTTGAGAAACAGATGTATGTTAATATAACAGATGGAAACTTAAATCTTATCTCTTTGGGAGATTCTTGAAATTTCTTAATAGTTTTATATTATGGCTCTTTTATAGTTTTGATTTTTAACATTTAAATTTAGGGACCAAATTAGAATCATCTCTCATTTATCTGCTTTCTTTTCAGTATTTATTTTGTTTACTTTGTTATAAGAAAATATCTCATATACAAGAATAAGAAAGGAAGCAATTCTTTGAATTTTTAAAAAAGACTATATAAAAATTTGATTAAATCTTTGAAATAGTCAAAACTCCCAAGTAAGATTAATTAAAAGGCTAATCTTACTAACAAAAACTTAGTTTTGAGTAATTCTAAAATTTTTACAACAAAATGAGGTATAAGAATACTTTTTATGTATCTGTATATAAATACAGTATGTCTATATGCAGTTTAAATCTATAAACTAAAAAGTTAATAGTAAGATAACAGTTTGTAGGAAACATATTTTATATTTAATAATATTATAAATATAAGTCCTTAGACATAAATAGTTGCTAACACTTGGAAATAAGGGCATTTTGAAGCTACTATCTTTGTTCATTGACAGAGGAGCTTTTTATTTATTGATTTTTTTTTTTTTTTTGCAGAGCCATCCTGCCACCTGTTGGCAGCTCAGTGGCAGCTCAGCTCAGGCCGGCGACCCTGTTGCTCAGAGCTCGCACTCTTGAGCGAGCTCTTAACCAACTGAGCAACTTGGCCAGCGACATAGGAGCTTTTTAAAAGCAGGGCAACATCATTATCTGTGTAACCTCAGCTAACATAGTGCCTGGAACTTATTGGGTTGTCAAAGAAGTCATGACGTATTTTGTCTATGTTTTCGAAGGTCATTTATTTAAAAGAACAAAGATCAATCAATGATATATTGCCCGTTTTGTTCAATAGCTTTTTGCCATCTTTCAGTGAGCTTCATAATTCCTCGCTCGTAGAAGGACCTGTCTTTATTTGCAAAAAACTGAACAAGGTGGGCCGGCCGAGTGGCGCGGTGGTTAAGAGCTGGCTTGGGATGCCAGAGGGCCCCGGTTTGGATCCAGAGGGCCCCGGTTTGGATCCCACATATGAGGGCCAGTGACACTGCCCTCTACAGCTAAGATGCTGAACAACAGCTCAACCTGGAGCTGGGCTGCCGTGAGTCGCCGGCGACAGCGTAGGCTGCAGCCCCTGTGGCAGTGGGTTGCCATGGGCTACCGTATGTAGCCAGCAGCCAGCGTGAGCGGCCAGCAGCCGCAGTGAGCGGCCGTCCAGAAGCCGGCGACTGATCTGCCTCACCCGCGAAGAGTGCAATGATGGTGCCAACTTGGGCCAGTGAAGCAACGTCCTCCACAACTAGACTGAAGAACAAAAACGACAGCAACTTGTCTGTTCCCCTTCCCCCAATTCCCCAGCACTGTTCCCATCCCCCAATTCCCCAATAAAAATCTTTAAAAAAAAACTGAACAAGGTGCTGATTTACAGCCTCATCTGAATTGAATGTTACACCGCGCAAGGAGTTTTAAAGAGAGCAAAACAAGTGGAAGTCTGACTGCGCAAGGTCAGGCGAGTATGGTGGGTGTGGCAACACATCCCATCCATGCTCCAATAATTTTTGACGGGTGATCAAACTTGTGTGTGGTCTCGCGTTGTCGCGATGGAACACAACTCCTGTACAATTAACAAGCTCTGGACGTTTCTGGATGATGGATTCGTTCAAACTGTCTAATTGCCGACAGTACACATTCAAATTGATTGTTTGACTCCTTGGGAGGAGCTCAAAAAACACGACACCTTTAAAATCCCTCCACACTGAGAGCATAACCTTCCTCTGATAAATGTCTGCTTTCGATGTCATTTGAGGCGAATCATCACTTGGGACCACGATCGTTTGTGCACCACGTTGTTGTAAATAATCCACTTCTCATCACCAATTTTCAGTCGCTTCAAAAAAGGATCATTTTCCTCACATTTAATGAGCATATTGCAGATGTTTATACATCCCGTCAAATGAACTTCTTTGAGCTCATGCGGAACCCAAATATCGAGCTTAATTATGTATCCCAGCTTCATCAGGTGGTCGTGAACGCTTGAATGATGGATGTTCAATGTTTCTGCAATCACTCGTGTTGTGTAACGTGGGTTTGACTCAATCAGTGCCTTTATTTTGTCATCATCAACCTCAGTGGGCCTCCCTGTCCAAGGAGCGTCGTTGAGATCAAAATCACCAGCACGGAATTTCGTGAACCATCGTTGGCACTGACGTTCTTGTAGACCATTGTCACTGTAAACTTGATGCAACTTTTCACAAGCTTGACGCGTGTTCTTCCCTTTATGGAAGTAAAACAGTAAAATATGGCAAAAATGCACAGTTTGGTCTTCCATCTTCAACTTGTTGTAAAATCTCCAAAACTCAGCCAAATTGCTCAAATTTTTTTTAGAATAAACCTAGAACTGTCAGCTGTCAAATGACATAGCAATAACATATATGCGAATGACTCTAGTACTTCCAAAAATGAACTAATGCCATCTGTTGCAAACATGCGTCATGTCTTTTCCGACAACCCAATAGTAGATGTTTGGTAAATGTTTGTTGGATGAATCAAAAAAAATTTTGTTTTAATTTTGTTTTCTTTCATGGCATACAAGATCCTTAAAATTCATGATTTGTTAATAGGAAATGATTTTTTAAACCCTTACTCATAACATCACATGTATTTGTAGTGTGGAGTAAATGTAACCATTATAGAAGCTATTTCAAGATGCAGTACAAAATTATTTCATATATCATAGCAAGAATAGTCATAGAAAATTATGGCCCCACTGATATCAAAAGTCTGGTGGGTTCTAAATAGCATTCCTAAAGGCCACTTTGATTTTCTTTCTCAAAAACAATAAAAAGCTTATACAGGCATACCTGAGAGATACTGCAGGTTCCATTCCAGACCACCGAATAAAGCAAGTATCGCAATAAAGCGAGTCATGAATTTTTTTCGTTTTCCAGTGCATAAAAAAATTACGTTTATACTGTAGTCTCTGAAGTGAGCAATAGTATTGTCTCAAGAAACAATGTACATATGTTAATTAAAAAATACTGTATTGCTAAAAAAAATGCTATCCATTATCTGAGCCTTCAGTGAGTTGTAATCTTTTTGCTGATGGAGGGTGTTGCCTTGTTGTTGGTTGTTCACTGATCAGGGTGGCGGTTGCTGAAGGCTGTGGTGCTGTGGCAATTTCTTAAAATAAGAAATGAATTTTGCCCCATCGATTGACTCTTCCTTTCATGGACAATTTCTCTATAGCATGTGATGCTGTTTGATAGTATTTTACCCACAGAGCTTCTTTCAAAATTGGAGTCAATCTTCTGAAACCCTGCTGCTGCTTTTACAATTAAGTTTATATAATATTCTGAACTCTTTGTTGTCATTTCAACTCTTTGTAGTCTTCACAGCATCTTCACCAGTAGATTGCATCTCAAGGAACCACTTTCTTGTCATTTTGGCTCAAATCAACTCTTAAAAAACAACAACAACAAAAAAAAAACCCCAACTCTTTCTTTGCTTATTCCTAAGAAGCAGCTCCTCATCCATTCAAATTTTGTCCTGAGATGGCAGCAATTCAGTCACATCTTCAGGCTCCACTTCCAATTCTAGCTTTCTTGCTGTTTCCACCACATGTGCAGTTACTTCCTCCACTGAGGTCTTGAACCCCTAAGTCATCCATGAGGGTTGGAATCAGCTTCTTCCAAACTCCTGTTAATGTTGATTTTTGATCTGTTCCCATGAATCATGAATGTTCTAACAGCATCTAGAGCGGTGAATCCTTTCCAGGAGATTTTCAATTTACTTTCAACAGATCCATCAGGGAATCATTATCCATGGCTGCTGTTGCCTGACTAAATGTGTTTCTTAAACAGTATGACTTGAACGTTGAAATTACTCCTTGGTCCATAGGCTGCAGGATGGATGCTGTGTTAGCGGGCATGAAAACAACATTGATCTCATTGTACATCTCCATCAGAGCTCTTGGGTGACCAAGTGCATTGTCAGTGAGTAGTGATATTTTAAAAGGAATCTTTTCTGAGCAGTAGGACTCAACAGTGGACTTAAAATATTCTGTAAACTATGTTATAAACAGATGTGCTATCATCCAAGCCTTGTTGTTCTATCAATAGAGCACAGGCAGAGGGTTTTCAGGATGGTAAATGAGCATTGGCTTCCACTTAAAGTCAGCAGCTCCATTCGCCCCTAACAAGAGAGTCAGCCTGTCCTTTGAGGCTTTGAAGCCAGGCACTGACTTTTCCTCTCTAGCTATGAAAGTCCTAGATGGCATCTTCTTCCATAGAAGGCTGTTTTGTCTACATTGAAAATCTGTTGTTTAGAGCAGCCACCTTCTTGAGTTATCTTAGCTGGATCTTCTGGATAACTGGCTGCAGCTCCTACATCAGCACTTGCTGCTTCAGCCTGTACTTTCATGTTATGGAGACGGCTTCTTTCCTTAAACCACAAGAGCCAACTTCTGCCAGCTTCAAACATTTCTTCTGCAACTTCCTCACCTCCCTCAGGCTTCATAGAATTGAACAGAGTTAGGGCCTTGCTCTGGATCAGGCTTTGGCTTAAGGGAATGTTTAGGCCAGTTTGATCTTCTATCCAGACCACTAAAACAGGCTCCATATCAGCAGTAAGGCTGTTTTGCTTTTTTATCATTCATCTGTTCACTTGTAATTTCCTTCCAGAGCTTTTCCTTTGCATTCACAACTTGGCTAACTGTTAAGAGGCCTAGCTTTCGGCCTATCACAGCTTTCGACATGCCTTCCTCACTGAGCTTACTCATTTCTAGCTTTTGATTTAAAGTGAGAGACACTCGATTCTTTCTTTCCCTTGATTACTTAGGGCCATTGTGGGTTATTAATTGGCCTGATTTCAGTATTGTTGTGTTACAGGGAATAAGGAAGCCCAAGGAGAGAGAGAGATGGGGGAGCAGCTGGTTGGTGGAGCAGTCAGAACACATACAGTATTAAGTTCATTGTCTCATAGGGGCGTGGTTCATGGCACCCCAAAACAATTACAGTAGTAACTCAAAGGTCACTGATTACAGATCACCATAACAAATATAATAAAAAAGTTTGAAATATTGTGAGAATTACTAAAATGTGACAGAGAGACACAAAGTGAGCAAATGCTGTTGGAAAAATGGTGCCGATAGAATTACTCGATGCAGGATTGTCACAAACCTTGAATGTGTAAAAAACTCATTTGTGAAGTGCAGTAAAATGGAGTGCACTAAAACGAGGTATGCCTGTAAATTTAGAATACGTGTTTATTAATAAGAGAAGGCTTTCAAATATTATAATAACAAGTCACATTAGTATGTTAATTATTGAGCTTTTCTTACCACCCCTCCCCCCATCTCACAGCCTTGTTAATGGGTTTTGGATATCACTGCATCAATCAATGAATGCCAAATTATGATATCGTCTATTTAAATAACACTTGTCCTAATGTCTTGGCTTTGTCTGGAAATTAAATGAAAAAGTGCTTTAATAGGAGGAATTATAAATCATGAAAAACTTGATGAGTGCTAAACGCTTTTTCTTTTCAATTTAGGTTATCTTCAAATTTACAGCACCATTTCAGCTTGTCATCTGTTTATTCGCATTATTTTCCTGACACTGGAATTCCAGAAGTGACCACCTGTCATTCCCGAAGCGCCATAACCGTGGATTATATTTTCTATTCTGCTGAAAAGGAAGACATTGCTGGGCAGCCAGGTAAAGGATGCATGTAATCTTACCTTCTACTTGAGGACACAGTCACTGCAACCTCAAGGCCGGAGTTGAGAAAGTTAGCTAAACATCTAGATGAAGTTCTAGATTTAGAATTTAAAAATAGTTTTAAATTGGTATCATATTTAACAGGTTGATCTAGCCACCTGTAAAAGATGGAGGCAGTGAAACACCTCAAAGCAAATTACTACCTAAGAATTACCTCCAGTTCCCATCACCTGAGTTCTGGGTCTTTCATATTGCACTTTGGTTTTATATACCATAAATTTACTCTTTTCTTGTGACAGCAGCATCACAAAGTTTGTCCTTAAATTTTACTAAGGTATGCTGCTGCTTTTATTTCATTTCATTTCATGTAGGAGGTTGTTTATACTGCCAACAATAGGCAATTATCACATTGACCCTGGAATATTGGATTTTTCTAGAAAGAAGTCTATAATATGACTGTGTGCTTTCAAAAAAGCTAAGGTGATAAAACACTTTTCCGTGTATGATTCAATGAAAATAAGATTTGAAATATTAGCCAAAGGAATTAACGTGGAGAAGAAAATGCAGTTTCTCATAACTGGAAGTCAAAAAATACCCTTCAGAAAACTTTGGAAGTCCAAAATGGGGGCATCTTTGTCTTTTCTCATTTTCCCTTCCATTTTTTGGTGCTACTTTTCTTTTCCCCTTTTGTTTGTTTTCCCTTCCTACCAAGAATAACCTTATTAGTAATACTCAGGATATGGCTTACTCCTTCCCACCTACATCAGCTCGACATGAGGCTGCTTTGAATTTGCAGTAAGGCTCCGGTAGTTGTCATGCCATGAATGTTCACTAGGTGGCAGAAGTGTGTCATGGACCAGCAGCTCAAATGGTAACATTAAGAGTATGTCCTCTGTGTACTTCTGTGGGTACTGATTCTCTGGGACCAAATTATGCTACTTTATGCTTCAGTCACCTTATAAACTTCCTATTCAGCTGTGGCTGGATCTGTCTGGTTTTACACAACTGTAGAATGGTTGACAGATGAATTTTTTATGTAGTCGTCAATTTCAAATTACTCTTAACATTCTTATGACGTTTTCTTCTGAAGATTATTCGCAGCTTGAAATCGAAAAAATACCTGAAGTACAAAAAAAAAAAAATTAAATAACTGAAACTGCTGTGTATTTGAGAATTATAATTAGGTTATACTCAATAAAAATTTAATCATATTCTGAAAACAATTTCATATTCGATTTCCAAAGGGGTCTCAAGTTCTATATCATTGCTGTTTAGAGGGGAAAAAAAAGACTTGTATGATTAATTTACAATTACTTGTTGGCACAGTTTCACCAAATATGTGTTTCTTTAATGTAGGAACTGAAGTTGCCGTGGCTGGTGGCTTGAAGCTTCTGGCTAGACTGTCACTTCTTACAGAGCAAGACTTATGGACTGTCAATGGGCTTCCAAACGAAAATAACTCTTCAGATCACCTGCCCTTATTGGCCAAGTTCAGACTTGAGCTCTGACTTCTTTGATTACCTATGTACTTTTCTTTCCAATTTATATTCTTTTTCAAAGAATGTACAGATTTTGCATGTTGTTCATTTTTGTACAGGAGTTCCTGAAGAGGTTGTTGAATGCTTGAAACAGATACCAGAAGAAGCAAGTTTACAACAGCTTTTTTTTAATAATGAAAGACTATTTTCCTGACAAGTGAGATCTAAATGCTCTCTATTGTAAAAGAGTTGTATATTTTTTATTCCAAATTCCAGTAAAATTGACAGTGATTTTTAAATATAGTGCATCTTCTTTCTTAGTAAAGAATTTTATTTCCTGTTTTTGGTAAGTTTTACAGTGGGTATAAACTATCTTTGAGTTCCTGCGAACCACAACTCATTTTTCTTCTTGAAGACCTGATTTCATTGTGAGGACCTTATGTTTGTTGAGCCCTAATTAGTTATCTCAGAAATCCTTGGGTCATTCACAAGTGTCCAACTAACCATTTTAGTTAGCTTTTGAGGGGGCTTGATACTGCTTTTTTAAATTGTACAAATTGCTAAGTCTATCTTGTTGCTATCCTCAGCCATATAATAGGCGTATACCTACATTTTGTTGGGGAAACAGAGAAGAACGAGGTACTTGACACAAGCCTTCGCTTCCATCCTGTAACAGATCACTACAGGATGCCTAAGTGAGGCAGAGTTTTTGGGGTTATGCCTTTGTTTCCCTAGCAATTTTTCCCCCCTTTTTTCTATTCAGTTTTAAGAAAAGACCCCCTGGGTTGAGGGAGAGATTTTATTTTAGTGAATTAATTCTGTAGAAATTTATTTTATTAAGAAAATTGTCTTTGGAACAAAGTGGCAGCTATAAGATTATTTTTGTTTTGCCTCAGAAATTTGAGGAAGCCAGCAAAGCTCTCGTGGGGAGATACCAGCTTGGAGACCTAACACTCTCAAGTAGTCATTTTAACTGTTTTAATGGATTTGTTTCTAAAATGTTTTTTCTTTTGTCATGATGCAGCAGTGTGAGGTGTTGCTGATATTTTTTATAAAGTGGTTAAGAGTGGGCCTAATAATTAATCCTGCAGTTGGCTCCATCTGAGTGTTTGAGTTAAAAATTTTACAACATAAAAAATGAAAATTTCTTCTTTTTTAGATATGGGGATCAAAGAATTATGTGTGTGTTTTTACTAAGTAATTTTATCATTGAATTTGCTGATTTATATGTTTTTACAATGCGTTTTCTTAATAGAATACTTCATCTTAAACTAGAAAATAGTAGTTACTTTATAGTCTTGGACTTTTTCGTGCTAAAGTACTTGCTACCATTATTTAAAAAACAAAACAGAGGAATGCCCCAAAAAGGCATGTGAGTTATAAGGATTTGTCTAGTAAAAATTGTAATAAACGAACACTTTTAAATGTTTCTCATTTTTTACTTACAGTATTTACAGTTCTTTGATTTTCCACATTTTCTAATCATGGTTTTCAGAATATTATGGTATGTCCTAATTAGCAGATATTGTCATCATCAAATAATACCAGTAGTATAATTATCCCCTTTTAGTATTGGGGAAAGAAAAATTACTACTTTCTGTTATGTGACTTGATTAACAAATAACTATACATAGGTCATTTTTGACAAACTAACATCCCTGAAAACAGCTGTGAAAACATAATTTTTTATATCCTGATTAATATAATGTAATTTTAGACCCTTTTTATGTGCTTCACTTTGATCCATAAAATTAATCCATAAAATTGCTTTCTACTTTAGCATATAGAATGAAGTAGTATTTTGTGGACTAGAGGCTAAAGGGTTGATGTAACTTTTTCACAGCTTTTTAAAGCTCTACTAAAATTATCTACTTGTCTTTACTTTTTCTGGTCAGAAGAGCTGGTAACTCTGTTAGGGCCTAGTATTTACCTGCCAAAAGCAATTAAATCTGACTAATTGCTAAAATCAAGTCTCCTACAACTTCAAGTGCTATACTATCCAAGTTTTAAATGCAATGTAATGAAATTTTGGTTTACTGGACACCTTTTGATATCAAAAGAATTGCAAGTTTGAAACTTTTTTTTTTTAATTTTACTAACGTTCTGCTTTTAACCCTTTGCTTTCCTAAAATACTAAGTTAGAATCCAGAAAGTTCAAGGGATTGGGGAAACAGATTTCAAGTCGTTTGCACTTTGTACCTATAAATTACCTAATAAATTATTATACAAGTACATCTGTGCCTGAAGGTTTTGTGGTAGGTATACAAAATAAGCTGTGGAAACTGGCCTGGTGCCTCTTCTAAACAATTTTATTACCCTTTTCGACCTTTATTACTTAGGCTGATGTTAAAATATAAGTGAATTAAGATGTGCCAAAATAAAAGGATGTTTAATATAGAGTCTGAAAATTGTGGAAGACAAGGGTGGCAGAGTGATAAATTAGTTGACTAGGACAAGTATGTAATAAGAGGACACGGAAAAAAGATCACACCATCATACATTTTTAGAAGAAAAACAATCCTTAAGTTTCCAGGCTGGTTTTATTAAAGTCCCATGCTGTATAAACATATAAGTGATGAGAAAAAACACTAACTTGAAACATGCACTAGCTGGCATTCTCTAAAATACCATTATACAAGTTTTCATTTACTTAGAAAAATACCCACTAAAACAATCACAGTTTTTCTTAAAGATTTAAAAAAAAATGTATTGGCCAGAACAAAGTCCAAGAGAATAAACAAGATTCTGAATTGTATGTCAAAAAAACTGTACAAGGTTGTACATAAAACTATAGCTTACAAAAAGCCTTGGGTATAGTAAGAATACTGAATTAAGATTTCCAAAGTTCTATTTACCAATATCTATTAATAAAATCCTTATGAAATAATTGACTTAGAAAAAGTGAAATGCTCATGATTTCAGAGTGTATAGAAAATACTAAATACCACTTTCTGAAACAAAGTGTACTCAAAACAGCACAACATGTAGTCTAAAATCAAGATTTCTGTCATTCATTTAAACTTTGCATATATTGCCAAAAGACTTAATTATCAAATTTCTCTTGCACTAATAACTTTTCAAAACTAGATTTAAAATAATTTCATAATTTCATTTTTAATCTTTGAATTATAGCCCATTTTAAAATCAGTTTTGGGGGGGTAAATCATGTCATGGGATTTTTTTTTTTTTGGTTTGTTTTGCCTTAAGTATCATTTTAGTTAAATTACTACACTAGAATTTAGTGGTTTGGTGCCTTTCCCATATCTTTTAGAAATGAACATTCCATAGGCATTAAAACAGTGACAACTAAGAACATTTTCAATGAATTTTCATGTTTCTGTGACTCACTTGCTTTGAGGAAATGAATCATAAAATCAAGAAGTTAGTGTGGAAGAAATTAGGTTACTTAATTGAATCATCAAACCAGTTGGCAGTTTTAAGGCTTATACATCAGCATATTAGAAAGTTTGTATTCCTATTATTTTCTTCTTTTATGTGGGAAACGAGGCTATGCAACTATTGACTTTATATTTTAATTGGGACAGTACTTAAGTAATGCTTGGGAAATCCTATTCCAAGCTCTTAGAATGACTGCAATGTTATACTCATTGGATATAATCAAGTTTCAGATTGATAAGATATATATAATGGGGGTTCCAAAAAAATGTATACACATGACTTATATTCATCTTTTGTTATTGGTATATATTGAGTGTTACAATTTTAATACAGCTTTTTCCCTTCTTAAAACGTGTATACATTTTTTTGGCTGTGTGTGTGTTTGTATCTGTTATATCTCAGAGAGAGGAATCAGTTTTGTTTTAGAATGAGAATGAAATGATTCACTGACTACTCCAAACATCTAAAGACATGTGGGCATGAGGCTACAAATGGGTTTGCCTTGTGAAGATATACAAAGATTAATTCATTTTAAACTCTACTAACTGATAATACTATTCTTGAAGAAAGCGACTAAGTTCAGAACTTTTACGCTGTGTTTTAATCTAATTGAGATGTACTTGCTCCTGTTCATGTAAAGGTCATTAGACTTCCTTCTTTTTTAAGAAAATAGTACTTTCCAGTAGTCATCTTTTTAGGGTAAAGTGAGCTCCTACGCACATGGCTGAAGGATGAAGTCCTGCTCTCCATGTCAGCCTCAGGTAAAGAATCTCAAGGAGCAGGTTCTTTTTTTACTCCCTTCCTAAAATCCCCTTCAGTCAAAGAAAGCCAGCAGGGAAGCATTAAGACTAAAGTAACACTTTTGTTGACTAGCAGACTTCACTTAAAATATATGTCTTTCGGGCTCATGAGTTGGCGTGGTTACTAAGATAGAACAAATGAAACAGGAGCTGTACTCGCTATTGCTAACAGACTTCGTATGCTGCTAGTTATTGTGTGGTCTGCAGCCAGAAGTTACACTTGAACAACCATATGCAGGCCACATCTTCATACTTGCTTCAGGGATTAAGTCACGCTATAAGGTGTAACATCGTACTTGAAGGCTTTTCCATTTAAAAAACAAGTTCCACTTCTCTAACTCATTGCATTTTCCAATACTAGTTCCTAACTGTTATGACGTGGTACTGAAAAGCAAGGTACTGAAAAATAATCACATTGTGCCACATTTGGTCTTAATATAAGACATCAGAACACGTCTAAGAACAGTGAGTCCTTCAGAATCAAGCCTGACTCAGGGTTGAAGCATCCGATGAAATGTGAACAGAAAGGTTATCTGTTTCTCAAGACCTACTGATTTGCCTTTCTGAGTGTGTTATTGTCAGAGGTTAATTGCAATACTGCTAAATTTTTTTTGCTAGAGTCTGCAAAGTTTAAATGTTAGTGACAGAACATAGACTAGCTTCTGAACGTGCTTTTTTTGTTTTGTTTTTGAAAGAACAAAAACTGCTGTCAGCAAATGCTTTAAGAAAGATTAAGAACTCCAAGATCCTGAAAATGATTTCCCGTATTGCCAAAAGAATTTCAGTGCTTTTTAGCAAAAACACTTGCATATAATACCTTAAATCTCATCACATGTATGCACCAGGAAAAAATTTCCAAACTTTGTGGAGATCCCCGTGGGAAATACTGGGGAAACAATACAAATAGAATATAAAAAAACAAAACACCATTAAGTTTGCATATCTGATGTCAAGATGCTGAGGTAATAGTGACTGCTTAAAAAAAAAAACCACCAATCTCTGCCTCTGTTATTGCTGCAAAAGACATTAACACTGATTGAGTTACCTTCGTATATCAAAAGTGGGAGGGAGGCTTTCATGAACATTTACTACTGGTGAGGCAGAATGTTCAAAGCAAGTAAAAGAATGTAAGTAAGTGGAAAAATACAGAACTACAGTTATGGTATCATCCTTTCTATCTGGAGTGATGGGGGCAGTCCTACCCCAGTGGGGTTGGTTTATGACTTGAGCCTTTTCCTAGTTGCCCCTTTGTGAATTTTCTCAAGTTGTTTCCGCCCACTCATTCTGTTTCCAAGAAAATCCTTCAAAATAAAATTCACAAGTTCTTAATAAATAGTGGAGTTCCTCCTGAAGACGCTGGGTAAAGTGCAGAAAGCAGCACCATAGAAGCCCTCTTGCTGGCTGGTGTATGGCTTGCCTAGATCCGGATTTGATAGCCCACTTCGTTCAAAGTGCTGAGGTCAGCCACCTTCTTCTCCGGCAGGGCAGGCCTAAGGGTGACAGACAAGGCGGTGCGGGGCAAGGGGAGAGATGGGGAAAGAACGGTTAGTCCTTCCAGGGGCCTCTACTCAGCTTAAGGAACATTGTAACAGGCTTTAGTCTAGAGTTCCAAACAATTTAGAGGCTGCTGAATGCGTTTGTTCAACTTGAAGCTGAATTTGGTCACACTGTTTGTTAACTTCTGAACCCCCAGTCCCTGTGAACTTCACAAGGATCTAAAAAGTCACATACACTACAGTACAACTAAAAATCTCAGTCAAATTCCCCTTGAAACCTTGGCTTCCTAGTGTCTGTCCCCTAGGGGAAGCCCAGCAGCTGCAACATCTCAGGCGACTCCCATTCTCCAGTTAAGTCTAGGTTATCTCCGAGAGAGATGACTACTCCAGACCTGAATGTACAAAATCAGGGTGACCCTTTTAGAATTCATCTGAAAAAGCACATCAATATGCAAAATCATTCAGTAGCAAAACATCTCTCTTCCCTGAACACATTTTCTTAAAGTGCGTTCCAATATACAACTACACCTAAACCTTATGTGTTCTCCCCACCCGCCCTGTGCCCTACTTTTAGAAAATCCAGTAGTCAAAAATTTACTTTTTCAAAGATTAAGCTTGAAGTACTCATCTGTATTCTCGGCTTTGGAAAAAGAGTCCATGGGGGTCATTTCCTAGAGCAATTAAAATATGATTTCCACACTATGTCTTATTGTAATTATGTAAGCATATTCCTCACCCAAATATAAATTACCGTTGTATTGGGTAGTGTTTTTAGCTGATGTTTTTAGGGCTCTGTGTGGCAGGGTCCATTGGTTGCCCCTCAACATCCGTTCTCCCCTTCTTCCTTAGTAAAGACACCTCTGATTTCTAGCTGGGCACAGAGCTGCCTAGAACACAAACTGTATTTCCCAGCCTCCCGGAAGCCGGACATGGCCTTGGACGAATCTGTAGCCAATGAGAATGAGGAGGAATTGTGGTGTTGTCAGTTAGCAGGACACCTCTTCAGATGACCACCGGCAGGTGCCTCTCTTTCTCTTCTTCCGTGCAGGAGTGATGGCTGGGGCTGGGCCCTGGAGGTGGCACACTAAAGAGGCAGAGCTCTAAAACGCCCCCACCACCTCTGTTGAGCTCTTTCACATTATGGTGAATCATGGGTGAGCCACAGCTTCAACTTAACCTTCCCCATGGCCAAAGTCAAGCCTAACTGGTACCATTTCCCTCCACTAACTCACTAACACAACGCAAATTCAGACACAGTGCTAGGAACAGTGGGTGGTGAGTGGGACTACGGGAGGTTAGTGTGTGGAGTAAGGACAACATGTTTCTAGCAAGTTCTCTATAATCCCACTCAGGATAAGCAACCACACCCTAAATGATGTCCAGAGACACTTCTAAGGGTCAGTCTTCTTCCCTGGCGCCGTTAGGACTCTTTAGATCTCCCACTGTCTCTGAAACTTAAGAGGTTCGAGTGCTTAACAAGAGCATCCCTTGTGCCATGGTCCTTGCAGCACCTACCGAGCCGCTCAGCCTAGCTCCTGAGCCTTCCTTCTCGTGCTTTCTTCCTGGCCTGGAACCTTCCTCAATGCCAAGTCTCACCTCTCCTCCTGAAACTCGTGCCTGCCCGTCACATATGCAAGCAATGCTGGTAAGACAATAGCTTAATATTGTCTTCAGGTCTTAGAAGGGACCTGCGCTGACCTATTTTCTCTCCCTCAGTCTTATGACCAACAGCACCTGCTGGAAAAGTCGGTGGCAGCAGGACAGGCTACGGGGACAAAAGCATACCCACTCAGCCCTATAATGTGGGTTTCCCCGGGACCACGGCAGCAACGAGCCACCTGCTCAGAAGCCATTTTTTTGGCCACTCCCCTGACTTCCTCCCTTTGGGCCCCTTCAGCCCTGAGGAACAGAATTTTCACATTTTTCATGGTTTGTGTGTCCCTAAAACTTCGCCCTTTCCCTTTACCCCTGTTCTGCTATTGGCACCCTTGGAAACGGGTGCCCTTTCACTCGTGGGTCTGGCCTCCGTTTTCTAAACCTTTCCTTAGCACTTCCACACCAGTTACCCTACGCCTCCAGGTGCTGAGAAGTCACCATTCTAAATAGCTTTTACTCGTTAGGCTTTACGATGTGCCAATCATTGTTCTAAGAGGGTTATGTGGATTAATCAATACCATAATTATGGGGTCGATACGATACTGTTCCTACCCATATAACAGAGAAAACAGGCACTGAAAGCTAGGGAACTTGCTCAAAGCCAATTCATATGCTTAGCAAATGATGCAGCCAGAGCTTGTCGCCAGAATCTAGAGCCCATGCCTTTAACCATGATGCAAACTGCCGCCTGTCCTCCTGCACTCCATGCGAAGGGTCCTCCTAATCACCTGAGGATGACACCGCATCCATTCCTGCCTCCACACCTGGGCTATGGAATGCTCTCCCCCATGTCTTCTTGTCACCCCTTCAAGGTCCAGCCCGAAGTTGCCACTTCCATGATGTATTTTCTGACTTCCTTCCCTCACAGCCCACTGCTCCTTGCTCGGTATGCCATGGCGTTTCTTTTTGTTCATCGGTTCAAGAATCCTACACCATCATAATCCTTGTGCCTGCCTCAGAGACTGAACAACCTGAGAACAGGATCAAGTGAATTTATCTATGACGCCACGGTCGAATATCCTGAATCTCTCAATAAGCTTTGCTCGAGTTCTCACTAACGTGTAAAGGGCTGATAAGGCTTCACTATGTTCCCTTTATCATGCGATATTTTTATTTTAACAGAGACAAAGTCCTAAGCCAGGAATTCAAGTCACCATGACAACATTCTAAGAATTAACGAGTAGGAAGAATATTGTTTGTTTGGTTTTTTTTCTGGCTAGAAGAGGCTTTAGCTAACCTCTGAAAGCCACTTGGGGAACCCGCCTACTTGGAAAGCTGAGTGTGGTTCTATAGTGACAGACAGCTTGAGGGTTTCCAGAGGAAAGGGCCTAGGCTGTCGCCCTGTATCCCAGCCCATCCACCGCCCCCCAGGACCTAGGGGAGGAGAAAAAACGTCCAACGCTGGCAGGAAATGAGTTAAACTGAGATTGCTGATGAGCTGCCTGGAAGATGAAACCTTCCGCTTCACAGCCACACTGGCTGCCGTTTCCTGGCCTGGCAAAGGGCAGAAGTGGGTTATCACAGCATGCCACCTGCCTGTGGGGCCCAGCCAGAAACCCTGTTCAGTCCTTGCCAGCCTCTCGGAGGGCCAGAGCTGGGTGAGCTATTGTGTGGGCAGAGGCCTCTTCCAAGGGCTCCCCGGGCTATAATTAGAGTGTTGCAAAGGGATTTATTTTTCAGAAACACAAGCACCAGGATGATGAGTCAGCCGGGTCTGCACTTGCCCAGAACCTCTCATCAGATCTAGGGTCATATTTTAAACTGAACAATATATTTCTCAAAACCCGTCCCCAGTCCAAATAAGGGTTTTCCTTTGAAAAGTCTCTCAGGCCACCTTCTGTTTTAGGGGAAGAGGGATCCCTAGGAGACTTTCTTTTGATGCACTCTGTGGAAGGAAGGAGGGGACACACAAATGGATAAGCCCTGCCTCATCTGTTGTCACATCAACATATCCAGGAGGAACTAGGGTGACTACTTGGTGGTCTGATCCTAACTCTACCCTGAACCCCAACCTCCCTGAACCCTGCATTCCAGGGTCAGCTGTGACAGAGGCTGTTGGGGGGGCGGGTTCCACAGAGAAGGTATTCTGTGGGAAATACTCCTAGTGTTCACCACCGCCCCCTAAACTGATAGTTCGGGGAGAGTGGACCATCTTCTATGTGTGCCAGGCAACACATCAAGTCTTGCACACAGCCTGAGGCAGCCTCAGTGCCAAGGAAGAGCTCAGCTGGACTGGATGTTGGCGTCAGGGAAGCCACAAGAAGCCTCAGAGCCAGAAAGTGATGGCAGCATGTTGGGGACCAAAGTGGGGACAACATCACATCCTGGGGCTGAGCATATAAGTTGGTATGTGTCTGTGTGAGGCTGGGTTTAAGAAAAGCAGCAGTAGTGGAAGGAAAGCCTACAGGGTTCCCCCTAAACCACAGTCCACTTTCTGTTCCTCTGACCAAGGGCTGTGTTGGGGGCATCTCCTCCCCTCACTTCTCAACGCCCCCCACCTCCTCTCCTCAGCTGCTGTTGGGCAGGATGGGTCAGAGGGCCTGAGTGGCAGCCGGACAGCAGGGCTCCTGGAACTTGCTTGCTACTCACTCACTCACAAGAATTTATTGAGCAACAGTTTGTGCCAAGAACCTTCTAGGTCTTGGGGTTACCAAGACAAAGAGTAGTTCCTGCTCTCAGTGGAGCCAAAACCCATCCCCTTTCTTCTGATGCAAAGTTACCTCTTGGTTCTCCCCTTTGAGTGTGAGGTTCTTCAGGGGCATAACCCAAGAATGCCCATTTAGGGCTGCCTGCCTGATGGGGGCGCCCAGGCCACCAGTCAGTCCATCCATGCTTCTAGCTCCTGCCCCTTCGCGTGGGGGTACACATGCCCATGTGTTTACACGCACTCACCCTCGCACACACAGACCAGACACACTTGGGCTGTATTCTTTGTGGACTCAGGATTCTAGAAAGGGACACATAGTAAATGTGCAACTCTACCATTAACCTCTTACTCTGTAAAGAACGTGGAACAGATGAAATCTGTGGTGTTGACCCAGCATTTACAAGTTTAACCGGGTACCCCAGGCCCTGCTTTCTTGTCTAGTCTGGCAGGCATCAGGGCAGGCCAGGCCCGGATTTAGGATGTATGGCTGATCTGGGTGGGCCTCAGCTGGAGGAACGCTGGGGTAGGGAAGCGGTTCCTTCACACCTGTCACCCTCATTCAAGGCCAGTCGTGTTCCTCACTCACATTCCTCACTTCCCAGGGCCGCAGGCCCCCCTGCTGGCAGCAGACAGGGCAGACAGCTGAACGTGCTCTGTAAACAGGCCTCAGCTGAGAGAGATTTGGCTCTGA